TTCTTTTTGTCTCTCATACGTTACTGAGCGTTGCCCTATATAATGTAAATTGACTGACATAAATTGGCCTAAAGGGTTAATGACAAAGCTATAGTTCCTCAGGTCTATAATGTCTGCGTTGCAGCCGCCGAATATTGTATAAAGGGTTTGCACTTGTTGGTGTTTTAAATTGTTCTCTCACAAATGGGATTGATATTGGTATGTTGTTCAACCTTTTTTTTTTGTGTGTGTCTTACATATGTTTCGACTGTACCATACGTTATATACCCAAGCGTGGCCCCGTTAAAATCTAGCCGTGAGAATAGACACCATAGACGGACAAGCCTCATCCTTTGCCTTTAAAAAAATGGGTAGCAGTGCACTGATATCCGAGAGCTTCCACAATGTCTATTCGTTTACAACAGCTATAGCAACGTTCGACGGATATGCCCCCCTGCTGACGCTTAGTGGCAAATATCCATCCCGACGACTAACGCCCAGGTTTATGACTTGACCATTGCCGTGGTTGAAATCGCTATCATATACCTGGACATCGCCCATCATTAAAACATTGCCTAAATGAGCACATAATAACCACTGGCACTCTATATGCACTCCTTGAAAGCGTTGTTAATTGATGACAGAAATAACCGGGTGTGCGCTTCGGGTCACCTATGCCAATGCTCATGCTTACATTACCGCACAGAGCTTCAACAACATGGGTTGAAAAGTTTTTGTAGTTTGGGCCGTGAGAACGCGAAGGCGTTGGACGTCCCGACTGTCGCCTCTGTTTCGCCCTATCGAGGAACGAAATTTACCCGTGTAAATTATTGCATTTCTGCAGCGTTTATTGCAGCAGTTTTATTAGTTGGTGCTACCGCACTCGAAGCAGTAGGCGACGGAGATGCATCGTTGGTGCATGTGGAAGCTGTAATACTCAGATGAGCCATCACACGCTAACACGATGCAAAAGGCGAAGTAGGAACTGCGTATATCCTCGATGCCACCGCGGGCAGCATTCTTCGCAGGAATCGAGACGCCTAACTGCGCCTTTGCCGATCTCGTTAGTGTCATGACACAGTACTTCTCTTCAATGCTCACCGATCGCGACACCACATCACAAAGCAAGGGCACAGTGCAGGAAAGATTGTAAGAGAGATTTCAGGCGCGTTTCCGGAGTCTCGTACGTGTCCGACGTCGGAGGTGCAATTCGTGAAATGCCCGCCATTTATTCTCGCGGATCCTGAGGTCATGGGTTCGACACCCATAGGTGGAAGTTTTTCTTCAAGTTGTTTTTCTGTCACTGGTTATTAGGCATTTTACTTCCGTCAAATCCATCACGAAAATACATCATTGAAGTCTTGGTAAAACCCGGCCTAAAACACTTTCATGTGAAAAAGTGGCAAAATTTGCGCTAAGTCTCCAAATGCTTCAAAGGCATCCTCCTCCTCCTCCTCCTCCTCATCATCATCATCATCACAAGCCTGACTAAGCCCACTGCAACAAAAAGGCCTCTCCCATGATCCGCCAATCAGCCCGGACTTGTGCTTTCCGTTATACCCGCAAACTTTGTAATATCATCGGCCCACCTACTCTCTGTCTCCTCTTCATGCGTTTGCCTTCTCCAGGAATCGAGTCAGTTAGCCTAAATGACCACCGGTTATCCTTGCTACTTGTCCAGTCGATGTCCATTTCTTCTTTTTGATTTCAGCTATGATATCCTTAAGCCCGGTTTGGTCCCTGACCTACTCTGTTCTCTTCTTGTCTCTTAAAGTTACACCTATCGTTTTACTGTCCATCGCTCGCTGCGTCGTCCTGAATTTAAGCTGAACCCTCTTTGTAAGCCTCCAGCTTTCTAGACCGTAGGTAAGCACTGGCAAGATGCAGCTGTTATATATATCTTCTTCTTGAGGGATAGCGGAAATATACCAGTCATGATTTGAGAGTGCTTGCCAAATGTGCTCCACCCCATTCTTATTCTTCTAGTTACTTCAATCTTGTAGTTCAGCTCCACGGTTATTACCCGGCCTAAGTCCACATATTCCTTAAAGACTTCCAGCACCTCTCCACGTACCACAAATTCTGCCTTCTGCCGAGATTGTTGCACAGTACTTTGGTTTTGTACATATTAATTTTCAGACCTACGTTTCTGATTTCTGTGTCCAGTTCAGTGATCATGAACTGTAAAATCATGCGTTGAACTGTAAAAGGCAGCAAATCTGGTCACTTCTCAAGGTTTAAGTTTTTTTCTCGGTTTCGATAGGCCTCCCTATATGTATATAGTTTAGCACTGTCAGCACAGGCGTATTCAATTTATTGCTCAGAAACTCTTGATAAAACCGGTTATCCGCTAAGCTGTACTCTGCAGGACTCTGCCCTAAAAGTTCTCGACCACACGAAGTCGGCTGGCACAGATTCGCGGTGCTCTGGCCTGTATTCTCTTCGCCAAGTGGTGTACCCTGGCTCATCCACTTGCCGGCGACGCTTGGCGGCTGCCTTTTTGGCTCTACGTCTCCGAGCGACGTCTAAGCGGTGGCGACGAGTCAGTGAGTCCGTGTGCAGTGTCGAGGCAGATGGACGGAGCTTGGCAGAGGCTGCGGGTGAAGCACAGCTGGCCTGGTTTCCATGGCGATGCTAGGTGAGAAGACAGCTAGGCGAGATTTTCGATCGATGAGCACCATTTTAAAAATAGCTTAAACAGTTTCACTGTTTTAAAAAAAAGGCTATTATGGAATCAGCGGGTTAAAAAGGTAAGAAACAATGTAAGCAAGTACAAGCCATCAGGCAATTTATAGGCGGTCTATAATAGTGAGAATGGAACTGCATAAAATTTGACGAGACGCCTCCACTTATAAGAACATGGTGGTTCAAGCACCCTGTTCATCATGAGAGATGGTCTGTCGATAGTGTTAAGAAATTCAATCCCTGAGACGAACCCTCTGATGTTCATATTGATGCCATCACGTAAAAATAACTTCACTGATGCGTAGAAATCATCCCAGTAATTTATGAAGTAGTAAATACATTGAACAGGACTTATATGTTGTTGCTTATACCTACATTCAGAGGCACTGCTCTTCAAGATCACATTTATACCCAAATGCTGTTTTTGCCACAGTGAGTCGATTCGATTATTTTGGTATGTGAGGGTGGTCCAGAGGTCATGTTTTCTTAGGCATGACTTCTGGACCGTAGATGCAGCATGACAGTATCACATACATTGTTCAATGTTCTTTTTATGAAACCTTTCCCTCTTAAAACATGAAACTTTCCTCAAGTAGAATGAGCCATTTAAAAAACCATAAAAGAGTCAGCACCCTCATCTTTCTTTCATTCCTCCTCTCGTGTGCAACGCTGTTTGTTCTTGTCCTACTAATCTAACAGCCAGCCCAATGAGGTGCTATCCATAAAAATAACTTAATTTTTTTTTTTTTGGGGGGGGGGGGGTTATCACCCCTGTAAAGTTGTTTGCGCCTCGCGGCGCACGTGTCTCGCGCATAGGGCGCATTTCGGGTTCACGATTACCGAGCTCTACGTGGCGTTGTGCTCACGAACGTTTATCACCACCACCATCATCAACAGTAATTACACGTATTCCTTTAACTCGATAGCTTTGTCCCTCGTAGAATCTTATCGTTATCTTGGTGTCACAATAAACAAAAAATTGACATGGTCCGATCATATCACCAAATTAGCAGCCGACACTACTAAATCACTTGGTTACATCAGACGTTCCCTTTCCTTGTGTCCCTCATCCACGCGAAAACTGGCTTACGAAACATTTATACGAAGTAAGCTTGAATATGCCTCAGCTATTTGGAGCCCTCATCAAGCATATCTCATTAACACTTTAGAATCTATACAGCACCGTGCGGCCAGATTCATTTCTTCTAGGTACAGCCGTGATGAAAGCATCAGTGCCATAAAGTCATCATTGGGACTCGAGTCATTGTCGTTCCGTCGGAAGATTGCAGGGCTGTGCTTGTTCCATAGGCTTTACTATAACTTCCCACATCTTCACGGTAAACTCCTTATCCCGCCAAGCCGTACATCTCGTCGCCTTTTTAACTCGTGCAGCGTCCAGCGTCCGCACGGTTCTACGTCTTCTTTTACTCAATCTTTTTTGCCAACAGCCATTGCAGAATGGAACACTTGCCAGACTGTGTTGTCGTTGAGCGCAACCCTATTGCGTTTAAGCAGTTGCTCACTGATCATCTTACGCTGTAAAATTCTTTTACACTGTTCTTTCTTTTCGCCTTTATATGCCCGATTCTAATTGTAAAATTTTTTGTGCTTTTAAATAAGTCTGCATTTCTATGTGTTATGTTTCAGTATTGTGATCCGATATGTTTTGTAACTCTTTATGTAACCTCCCCCCCCCCTTATGTAATACCCCGAGAGGGGCCTTTAAGGGAAAAATAAATGATGATGATGATGATTATGGTTGTTAGAACGGTAGAGCTGGCGATGACGCCTGGCGGAAAGCCTTGGTGGTGGCAGAGGAGAGAGAAGCGGTTCTCTTTTGCGTGTGGTGGTCGGAGCGAGCGGTGGTTTCTCGTGGTGGGCCCGTGAGGACGGCGCCGCATGTCTTTGCTCGTGGGCCCTCGGGTGAGTCAAGCGTTGGCAACGCACCCTTTAGTGTGTTCTTGTGTTTGTCATGTTGTTGAGTGTTGTGCAACATTGTATAAGGTTATTTAGCATGCTGATCACAATTGATGTCATACTAATTCGGCTGACTATATAGTCCTTCTAAAAGTAGTTAAATAGATGTGTGTTGTTTTGGTTCGTTTCGACCATGTCCACTGTGTCCGTGCACTCCAAGAACGTGGCGCTCTCTATTTAGAGACCCCACAAATTAGGGCTGCTCCATCCCCTCAGTTTCATCCTAAAGAACAAATGACTGACTCCCAGTACGGCTGTGGTGTACGAAGCTGTGATTTCGCATGCGTGTGCGCGCAGAGTAGAACGCAGGATCTCCAGCGAAAATTGTTGCTGACAGGCTGTTAGTTCAAACACAGAATAAAGGACACCTGCAATTACCCTTTGCTTTGTTTAATACAGAAATATCCGACTGGTCCGGCACCCGTGGAGACCAGCTGAATACCGCGGCCGGTAGCCCGAGAGCTATAGAATCCCATTTCGCCGGGCTCATGTCCAGCATCGGCAGGGCTGCAGTTTCCACGCAAGAAAGCCGCGAAGCCTTCTCTGCAGGGCCGTGACAGCATGCGACATGCCTTGTTCACCAGTGACTCGAGAAACAGAACCGAGGCCCTCATGTGGTCGCACAGTGCCGCTGCAAAGTGTCATAGTGTGACAGGATGTAAAAGCGGGCTTGTTCGCATACATCGTGAAACTTGTGGCGCACAAAAAAGACACGGACAAAGCCCAGCCTCCTCGTCCCTTTCTTTATTCGTGTCTTTTTCGTGCAACACTAGTGTTACGATGTCACAGTAAGTAGGATGACAGTAGAGAAATCGTCTTAGTGGCTAATTTTCACATTGTAAACTAATAAATAAGACACAATTAAGCCAACAAAGGCTCAGGGGACATTATTTCGAGGTTTCTTATACTTATTGTGCTACTTCTCACCTAAATTAAAAGAACGGTAGATGAGAAATCACCTTTCCTGTTGGTGGGATCCGAACCAACAACCTCCAAATTACTTGTCCGATGTACTACCATGCATGTGAGATAAAATGAAGAATGCTCAGAGTCAACTTTTTCTGGGGTATTTATGTGTCTATGGAGTATCAGCCAGCGCCATTCCTAGCCCAGGCGGCGAGGAGTGGCGCTTTTAAGTGGCGTGACGAGCATTAGCAACGTCCCGCATTATTGGCAAAAGTCATCTCTTACGAATAATTATATAAGTAGCGAGTTTTTCGTAAATGAGGATTCACATCTTGTGTCACGAGATTGACTGGAGTAAGAAAGGTAGCGTGCAGCTGCCACCAAGATGATCTCAGCGCATGGCGATGGAAACGCGGTACTCGGAGCGCGTAACCGCTGATGTTGAGGGTGGTGGCGTTTGCGACAAATGATAACTCCATCCGGTATGCGGCAGTTCTGTCTGTGGTTTTTCGTAGCGCCGGTGGAGTTCGGCTTACCATAGTAAAAAAAAAGAAGGCTCTTGTTCTGCGCCGTGCGACGCGGCTGGAGCTGGCTAGAGGGTTTTACAAAGGATTGCAGAGCTCCGCAAGTGCCAACCACATTCAGAACGACTGTTTACCGGATGCAGCCACCAAGTGTAAGGAATGCACTCGCCCTTGCCATCACCCTACCGCAAGCAGCTGTATGCTCCAAGTATCGTGTTTCGGTCACCAAGCGCAATACACATACGTCGACTGTAGAAGAGGGAAAAATGCATGGAAGGAATATTGAGCGAAGAATTTGAAAAGTTTAACAAATTAAGAGGGCAATGAAGTAGAGCGATGCACCCTGAAGGAACACACTTACCTACTTAGGTGCAGTCACCATGTGTCACGATCTTAATAAATAAATATAGAAATAAACAAATGTAAACAAATTTTGGGGTACGCAAAAGAGACGTGCCGTAGCGGAAACTTTGTATTGGCATTGGCTTTTGGTGGTTACTGAACGTACCCCTATGCAGCAAATTCCAGCATCTCTCCGCTCCTCCAGAAAAATGGTTGCCGCCACTGCGTTCGAAGTTGTCACATTCACTAAGCTACCCGCCATATTCGCTCATTCACTCGTAGTATCCACGAAGCAAAGCGGCGATCTCAAGTGTAGCGCTTTCAGTGCTATGACCATGAGGAGTCAGCATCCAGATAATTGATTTCAGTGGCTGTAAAAGTTAAATTTCGTGAAATGTCCCATTTAGGTATCCTGAAGCCCAAAATTGAAAAAAAAAAATTACCAGTTTCAGGTTGTTTACAAAAATATATTACTTGTAATAATAATAATAATAATAATAATAATAATAATACTAATAATAATAATAATAATAATAATATATTATTATTATTATTATTATTATTATTATAAATTATTATTATTATTATTATTATTATTATTATTATTATTATTATTATTATTATTATTATTATTATTATTATTATTATTATTATTATTATCGGAGTGTGCGTACCAAAAGCGATGCATCGTTTCATGACACCCGATGCGACTCGACAAGTAAACTGCATAGCGCTGAACTTGACACTGCAGAAGTGACAAGCATCAGAAATAACACACCATCGTTTGTATTCTCTCGACGCATTTTTACGACTTCGGCAGCTAGCGGGTCTTTTAAGGAGGATACGGTAATATGTCATCTGCGTCTAGTTGGGGCACTCGCTAATACCTACACAACTAAGATTGAGATGGCCGACATAGGACAGCGAGTGCAACGACTGTGTTGCCAAAGACGCTATTCAACACATCTTATGCTACTGCCTGACTTACACAAATAAAAGACTTGATGTCCATACTGCTCCATATCACCTAGAAGAAGCGCTTTCTCCGTCTGGAAGATGTTTTTCAAGTGTGTGTGCCCCCTACCTCCCTCTCTGAGAAAAATTTCTGGCAGCGAGCCTGCAATTGCGAAACTGCTTCATCCGCTGTAACAATGCTTGAATTTTCTCTTCTCATTACTGACTTTTCTTCTCGCTTTTCTGGTACAGAGATGAATAACGGACTCAGTCCCCATAAATCTCACTAAGCGCGTTCTCGGTATTTTAGTATTCGTGCATAGTATTGTGGCATGGCCTTGTGCTCGTAACTATGCCGTATAAGCTGATATTTATCGAAATAATCTCCCATTCCTCCCAACTAACAGCATCTAAAGATAGAGCGCATCAAAGACGGGACAAAGGGAATGACACATAAACACACGAACACAGTGCTTTGGGTTTATGTGTCATTCGCTTTTGCCCGTCTTGAATGCGCTATACATGTACCTTTGGGGCGATATGAATCACGAACAAGCCCATCACGCAACCTTCAAACTCACTTGTCTCCATCTTCCTTGCCATCGCTTAGAAAGTTTTGCTGCTATCGCGACTTCCCTAGTGAAATTTTCTCGCCAAGATACACTCGCAGTACGCTCGTACTTGAGTATCAGCGAACCTGGTCATGCCATCTTTTTCATAAGTACGAGATCATTAATCTTACGAAGATAAATAGATGACGTTAAACAGCTTGGGTCGACAGCTTTTAAGCTGCTTTTTAGGCAGACAGCTGGGTTGACATCAAAAGTAATGTAATAACCCTTCCTAGAGGGCAAGAGGTGCTTTGTCTTACTATTGAGATGCGTGTATAAGCAAAAAAGACAAAAAAAGAGAGCTAGTGAGACACGGTTATCGTACCATCGTTCTATATCGCGTGAACACTGGCCATTAGCCAACAGTTAATTTGTCCGTTTCACCGAGGCATCGAAGTGGAAGCAATATGAAACTGCTTCGCAGTCTTATGAGAAAAATATGACTGTCCGACATACAAAGCGTGCCGTGCTCACGAGCCCCGCAAACCGTAAAGGTGTTCGTGTGTATGCCTGAATTATTTTTAATAAAGCGTTACTTGTGCTGGCAGCTTTGTGTCACACTTCGCTGTGATTGCGCCTGAAAAACGCAAAACCTTGGCAGAAGGCTTCGCACGAGTGCATTGATAAACGTATTAGAAATGTTGATTATATAAAGGGCGCTTTTGGAGTGACTCACAGCCACCACATCCGGGTTGGTTCTTGGCACCGTTCACGTAGAAGTCCACGTGACCTGTGGGCCTGAGGAGTCCCAGTTGCAATGGCTGGTGTTTGTAGCCACCGCTGGTGTGGATGACGTCTACGAAGGCGGCATCCTCAGGGCACACGGAGACGTCGGTTTCGTTGAACAAAGGCCCCGCCGGATCCAATGCTGGGCCGAAGTGAGTCACATTTAGTAGAGATTGAGATAGTTGTCGAATCTGAGAGGTCAAGGCCATGATGATGGCGTGTAATGATATACCCTACATACCGGAACAGCTATAGTAGCTTAACCTTAGTGAGTTACTCGCTGGCTACCATGTCATACACTAGCATTCTGCCTGAAATTACCCACATTTTAACAACTTCCGTATATATCTGTCCAGCATCCTTCCTGAATGCTTTACTTTTTTTTTACGAACACGTTTAGAAGCACTAAGAACTAGCCAAAGCACGTAATTAAACCCCTATGCCGAAGAAGAAAACATAAATTACATTGACAGATACAAGCGTCCGTTTGGCGATCCTAGTAGAATTTCTATAAATAAATTGCACCTAAAGTTCGCCAAATTTGGTATGTCGTACAGGAAATCTTCAATATGAATTATGGAGTCACTCACTTTCCTGTGCGTAGTCTTATGCTTTCATGAGCTCCATAATTATAGCTCAAAATCACACTATGCGTATCCATACCAACCCTATTGTGATTGAAATGTGCGGTTTAACGTTGATTGATTGATTGATATGTGAGGTTTAACGTCCCAAAACCACCATATGATTATCAGAGACGCCGTAGTGGAGGGCTCCGGAAATTTTGACCACCTGGGGTTCTTTAACGTGCACCCAAATCTGAGCACACGGGCCTCGACATTTCCGCCTCCATCGGAAATGCAGCCGCCGCAGCCGGGATTTGAACCCGCGATCTGCGGGTCAGCAGCCGAGTACCTTAGCCACTAGACCACTCCGGCGGGGCAGCAACCCTGTTCTGTGCTACTGACAACGTGAAAAGGGTTTCGCGTGCAGAAGTTTCGCTGCTTTCGTGGCAAATAGCGCAACATAATGAGGCGTATTGTGCATGCGTGTGGAGTGAAGAGATGCGCAGCAAACGCACTCCTTGCGCATGCGCTGCCGGGCCCGTTTTTTGCGCATGCAGAAAACTCTGCGCACAAACACGAACAGCTCTCGTATTGCGTGTATACGGCTTCGTAGACAGTGCAGGTAAAAGAATCCTGATTGTAAATGTTTCAAGGCGTTTTCAGCCAGCATTACCATTCGGTGATAGACACTCTAAAGGGTAAATTGGACGTTGAGCAAAAATTAAAAAAAAAAATATGCACCATAAAAATTGGTTGTTGGCCACTGCAACGCTTCTTGCTTGTGTTGCCACTGATTAGTTTACGTTTGCATGAGATTTCATCTTTCACGCGCTTGTTACAATGGCAATATGTCTTTTTTTTCAGGGTTTAGTTGGTTCATACTGACGAGAATAAGTCAGCGCAAGGCGTACCAGATTGTTTAAGCTTTTGCGGTGCTCAATTCGTGAGGCAATAAACTCTTTCAGTAGAGCTGTTCGACGGTTATTTAGAAAAGCATTGCCAAGCCCCTGTCAGGCTTAAGTGTTTTCATCGACGTTATGTGAAACGTCGCTTTTTTTATTTAATTACACAACTCGCTTCACTTAGTTAAGATGGCAAACGTTACACTGTAAGTGCACTTGAATTGAAAAAGAACCACAGGACACAGTGTTCAACGTAGCCATCTTCCAATCCTGCTCTTATCTGGAAAATTCTTAAGATATGAAACCTCTGCCAGCCGTGTCCTACATCTCGTTAAAGCTATTTACTGTGTGGTGAAACTCACTTGACATGAGATTTGCTGATAAGGATGGCTTTTCTGCCACTTATTCTGTGCATTAACATTAGTTTACCTGTTTAAAGCATTCTCGAGTAGTCGGCGGCGTCGTGCCGCGCGTGTTTGGAATGAAGGCTACACTTAGCGAGCTGTACGTTATGTGCTTAAATATCAGCTTTGCTGGGCAAAGAGCGCATTAAAATTTGCCCGTGTACTGTATGCATACCTAGATGTAGTCTGTGTATCAAGCCTAATATTTGTGGGAAGGAAGAATTATGAAAAAATAATGTTGTGAAGTGCATACAAGGTGTCCGAGCTATATCTAATCAGTGTTTAATATTATACTAATGCACTCTATGATGACAAGATCAAATAAAGGTTGTTTACACTATAGCCTGGAGTATGTCACACTATTTTTATGGGTTCTGCTTAGTTGCCTTACTAGGTATGTTTACTTATAACTAGCTTTGGAAGCAACCAAGCTGGGCAAACAATTAGAGTGAGGAACTTGTAGATCACATTGAAGAACGTCTGATTAAACAGTTTTTCACTTTATACCTATTAGGTAATAGTGTTTTGCTGCTTACGACATATTCCCGCGAAATGTTTGAAAAATACCACGTGAAATCCACTTGCGCGCCGTATTGCAGTGCTTCCTGACGTTCTTCGTGAAAACGACCATAGCATTTGGTCAGTGGTGCTGCCTCGACTGGACTTTGCCATGACGCACGTATTGCAAGCGGCAGCACAAGCAATAACCACTGCGTATTGTTGTCATGATTCGCTTGTACGCGGAATCTTAGAGAGCATTGCAATTATGGCGCGCGCATGCGCGCAAGTAGGCATGTCACGTGGTATTTTTTTATTTCACGTGCATCTCTAGTAAATTGAACAGAACAGATACGTAGTGCAGAGACAGGTAGAATTTGTCTAAACGGGGACTGATTTACAATTTTCACATAGAAAATTTTCACCGGGACTCACTGCTTCAAAAGTTAGGTAAATAAACATGCCTGAGTAGGCAATTGAGAAAAACAAACAAAAAAGTGTGACATGTACTCCAGGCATCGTTCGTAACATGAATTTGGTCGCACTCTCATAGACTGCTTCGTTATATGTTTAAACTCTGGCTAAAGGTAGCTTGGACACACTGCATCGTGACATCTTCACAAAAGTTAACAAGCAGCAAAATGCAGGATTGCTCGTAAAGCATTCTGCTAGCTTTCAGAGAGATAGTCATGTTAGTTAAAAAAGACCTATAGTGCAGTTTACAATTTCTTATATATTGTATTCAAATACTTTATTTGTTCGAAATCTGCATAATGCACTGATTCTTATGCAGCACTTATATTTCATTCATGACGCCTACCGCTCATAGTCAGCCTATTACAAAACAATTATTATCACAAGTGTCTGGTGTAGGGGCACTCGTTCACAAGGTGTTCGTGGGCCCTGTGCCCAAGGAGATTTCGGAAACGTCAAGCACTCTTCTTCCTCTAGTATACCACGGAGAGTAGCCACTGTGGAGTAGCCACTGTGTGAACAGTGGCTACTCCATAGTAGCCACTGTTCACATTAGCGGGTGGACCTCTTATATCGGGTAGGGGACGAGGAAGGTCAATAGGCGTGACACCTGGCGAGCGCTGTGGAAAGTGTACCGTACGTTAACGTTGTCCTGCAATATGTATCATCATCATCATCATAATCAGCCTGACTACGTCCACTGCAGGACAAAGGCCTCTCCCACGTTCCGCCAGTTAACCCGGTCCTGTGCTTGCTGCTACCAACTTATACCCGCAAACTTCTTAATCTCATCTACCCACCTAACCTTTTGTCTCCCCCTAACCCGCTTGCCTTCTGTGGGAATCCAGTCAGTTACCCTTAATGACCAGCGGTTATCCTGTCTACGCGCTACATGCCCTGCCTATGTCCATTTCTTCTTCTTGATTTCAGCTATGATATCCTTAACCCCCGTTTGTTCCCTAATCCACTCTGCTCTCTTGTCTCTTAAGGTTACACCCGCCATTTTTTTTCCATTGCTCGCTGCGTCGTCCTCAATTTAAACTGAACCTTCTTTGTAAGTCTCCAGGTTTCTGCTCTGTAGCTAAGTACCGGCAAGATACAGCTGTTATATACCTTCCTCTTGAGGGATAGTGGCAATCTACCTGTCATAATTTGAGAGTGCTTGCTGAATTTGCTCCACCCCATTCTTATTCTTCTAGTTACTTCAATGTCGTGGTTAGGCTCTGCCGTTATTACCTGCCCTAAGTAGACATAGTCTTTTACAACTTCAAGTGTACTATTACCTATCTTGTAGCTCTGCTCCTTTCTGAGGTTGTTGTACATTACTTTCGTTTTCTGCAGATTAATTTTAAGACCCACCTTTCTGCTCTCCTTGTCTAACTACGTAATCATGAGTTGCAATTCATCCCCTGAGTTACTCAGCAATGCAATGTCATCGGCGAAGCGCAGGTTACTAAGGTATTCTCCATTAACTCTTATTCCTAACTGTTCCCATTCTAGGCTTCTGAAAACCTCCTGTAAGCACGCGGTAAATAGCATTGGGGAGATTGTGTCCCCCTGCCTTACACCCTTCTTGATTGGTATTCTTTTGCTTTCTTTATGAAGCACTATGGTAACAGTTGATCCCCTGTAGATTTCTTCCAGAATGTTTATATATACTTCATCTACGCCCTGATTCTGCAGTGTCTGCATGACGGCTGATATTTCTACGGAACCAAACGCCTTTTCGTAATCTATGAAGGCTATGTATAGTGGTTGGTTATAGTTTGAGCATTTCTCTAATACCTGATTGATAGTATGAATGTGGTCGATTGTTGAGTAGCCTGTTCGAAATCCTGCTTGTTCCTTTGGTTGTATGCATACCCGTGAGCAAAACTATTCAGACCATTGCCGTTGGCGTCGCGTATACTGTCGTGAGCATTTTTCTGACGAATTCCGCCTGAGCCATGGACGCTGTCCACGCAAGTTCCGCCACAACAATACTGTCGGTATCACACGTCTTGTTACTACATGGCGCACACCGATATTGCGGCACACGCTTCTGTGCTTTTGCTCACGGGGGTACGTGTACGCGTGGCGAACACTGCGTAAATCAGTGCACAGGGGGAGCAACGGGAGGGAGGAATGCCAGAGAGCGTGCGACAAGGAGAATGTGACGCCAACAAGCCACACACGAGTGGTCATTTAATGTATTTTTAAGAGTTCTTTAACGCTTGCATGGCTAGAAATCGGTAAGAGAGGCCTCGTAAGAACGTACGAGACCAACATTTTAGCGGAGCATGCGACCTAAAATTTACA